CCCTTCCCTTCCCTTCCCTTCCCTTCCCTTCCCTTTTTCTCTGCTCAGTTCTTATGTTCTCTGGGTTGCAGATGTTGTAGCCCGTGGAGAAAGGGGGAAGACTGAATGGCCAGAGGACATTCACAGTACTGGGGACCTGAGAGTCACTAATTTTGCCTTCATCTCTTGCCTTTCCCCAGGTGAGCACGAGAGAGAAAGGAGGAAGATGGACCGACATCCCAACAACACAATCCATGACTGGCATACGGTGTCCCCAGCGCCTATGGAGAGCATGGCCTATGGGGATGGACGCAATGGGACCAGGTGCTTTGCAGAACACATCCCTGAAATCGTCACCGGTAGCATCACACTGCTTGTCTGCCTGTGTGGGCTGGTGGGGAACGGGGCAATCCTCTGGCTCCTCGGCTTCCGCATCAGGAGGAACCCCTTCACCGCCTACCTCCTGAACCTGGCCGTCGCGGACGCCTGCTTTCTCCTCTGCACATCAGCTTTCCTTGTAATATACCATATGCCCATGCTCAGCTGCTTTCAGCCAGAGCTTTTGCGGGTGCTGCCACTATTTCACTCCATGGTTCTGCTCACGTACAGCACCAGCCTCTATCTCCTCACGGCCATCAGTGTGGAGAGGTGTGTGGGCGTCCTCTGGCCCTTCTGGTGCCGATGCCGCCGCCCGAAGCTCCTGTCAGCCGTCGTGTGCAGCCTGCTGTGGGCCCTCGCCTGTGTCCTTGCCGGGCTGGTGTACTTTGTGTGTGACCTGGGTCACTCTGAACACTGCTGGATGGTTCTTGGAACCTTGTGCTTTCTCAATTTCTGCTTTTTCTCTCCCCTTATGGTTCTTTCCAACGTGATCCTCTTCATCAAGCTTAGGCGTAGCTCTTGGCAACACCACTCAGCGAGGCTGTACACTGTCATCTTCCTCACTGTTTTCTTCTTCCTCCTCTTTGGCATCCCGCTCAGTGTCCAGATCTTCCTCAACTTCTTTGTCTACATTAATTTTGTCTTTGAGATCTGCCTGTTGCTGGCCTCTGTCAACAGCAGCATCAATCCGGTTATTTATGTCCTGGTTGGGAGCTGTGGAAAGTCCAGGTTCAGGGGATCTGTCAAAGTGGCTCTTCAGAGGGTCTTTGAAGATAGGGCAGATTCCCAAGAGGTGGGTGAGACCCCCATGATGGGAATTGCTGCCTAAACCCCTATGGCTGCAGACTGGCACCTGGAAAGGGACAGCCCTGCCTCTGCACCCCGGGCCAATGCCCACAAAAGCAGAGCCCTTGCCCGGCTGGGTGAGCAGGACCAGCAGTGGACAGTCGCGCGTCCCCCAGGACACGGCCACGCTCGATGAGATTTCCAGGGACAGGGCTGGTTCCCACCTCAAACTTCTTTTTAAGTTATTTTAATAAAAGTGTCTTTCATGTAACTTACTGGTGATTGCAGTTTCTTCCCCTGCCGGCTCCGTGGTGTGCCCTTGCTTGTTCTCAAAATTGCAGTTGTGACAGTCCCCTCATGCTGCCTGCTAGTTTATACTGCTGAAATGATGTGGTCCAGAAAGTCCTGCCTCATCTGTTCTCCTGTTCTCCAGGGTTAACATGGCCACGCTCCTGGGCCCTGATCTGTACCTTGTCTGCTTCCCGGCATCGAGATGTCCCAACTCTTCCTGCCTCTACCCTCTTCTGGGACCTTGGTGCCTGATACTAAAGCACTAAGCACTCACTACCTTGATCCTCAAAAGCCCCCAGACCAGAGGAGATGATGGTGAGGGACAGAAATGACGTTTTCTGCTCCCTCTGGCTTGACGCCCTCCTGCGCCACAGTCTGACAGAGAAAATCCATCTCGGTCTGGCTGATGGAGCTGGCAGCATCAGTCAGCAGCCAAACCTTCACCCTGCCAAGGGGGTTTAACCGGGGAGGCAGGAAGGGACAGGCAAAGAGGCAAGCGCTGCCGGTGATCAGCACTGTGCCGGGTTGGACAGAGGACGGACGGACAGCCAGCCAGCTAGGGGCTGATGGCAGTTGGAAAGCACAATTCGGTGCACCGGGTGGAGAAGCCCATGGCGCAAACTGCCAGGGCAGACCCAAGAAAAGAGACAGAAATAGAGGATGGGAAGGCTCTCGCAGGCGATTGCTCAAGGAGGTTGAGCTCTACCTGCCAGACGGTTGTATTAGCTTTCCTGACACAGAGAAACAACTGCTACCAGAGCCGTAATATTTACAGAACGTAGCTTCTTTTGAACAAATACAAGCCTGACCCCGATACAAACAAATAACTGATGTCTGTAAATCTTGTGTTGGAAATCAAAAGTTTAGGCGAACATGCTCAGAATGTTGCCCACGAAAGCAGAAGCTGAGAAACCCTGGGTAGCTCTGCTCTTTTGTCGAGCACACGGATAGATCGGGCAGCAAGCGTTGTGTTGCCCAGCATTATGCTGGTGTACCTTGATGCTTTCCTTACCATGACCTGTTTGCACTTGAAAGGGTTGGCTTGGTGAGGGGATGTGAGATTCTGTGGTTGGGACACAAACGCAGTGTCAGCGAGGGAGAGAGGAGGCGGTTTTGGTCCTGGGGTCCCCACGCGTGCCAGTTCCCAGCAGGAGCTGTTTGCATTTCACCTTCACCGCAGTCAGTCTGGGTAGGAATCATCTCACCTAACTTCAGCTCTCTAGAAGTTACATGGGCCTGTCTGAGAAAACCATTGTAGGCTGCTGACTGACTACAAAGGGAGTGTAGAAGACAACCCAGACGAAACCCTTAACTTTTAAATGGCTAAAACCAAGTGAGCAGCATTGATTCACCTCTCCTTAGGAAAAAAAGATTTTCCTGAAATCCTAAGTCATCTCTCCGCCTCCTGCCTGTGCTCTGGTTCATGCACAGACCTTATTATTCAGTTAGCTCCTTGATGCACATAGTAGCAGGCTCTTGGAAACTGTGGATTTGAAGGTCAAGTATCACTGTGAAATTGTGGTAGACAAGTGGCAAACCTAGATCTGAATCAGAAATAGAAGGTTTGGAGCAACACCAAGCTTGTAGCGCAGGGTCCTAAAGATACACCCCTGGAATGATAGGAGAAAAGTTCAGCCAGTTCAAAGATACGAATATTTTGGGATTGGGGTTGCTTTAAAATGAAATGAAAGAGGAACCTGACATGGAGACAATCTGCTTCTCCCCTAGGTCTTTTGTTAGTCATTTCCTGTACAAAGCCAAGAATAGATTATAACCAGAACCCTGATACTGTCAAATGCAATGAAATAGTTCCCTGTTTGCAAGAACACTTGCTTGGCTAACACCATGAAAAGCATTTTGTGAAAGGACCTGAGAAAAGACCCCATGCTGGACGCTGCACGGGCTCACCAAGGCAGGCTTCGGTCCAGTTTTCCAAGTGATAATTCCAGGAAACCTCATGAAGATCCCATCATAGGGGCGGCAGCTGGCGAGCACGAGGTGATGTGAGCCTGCAGCGCATCTGCTCCAGTGAAGTTCTCCAGGCTGCGAGAGGAAAGAAGGTCAGACTTTTCTGAGTGGGGTTTTTTTTCAGCCTAATCAGTGCCTCCCCTCATCGGTTTTGAACCTGTTGGTCAATTTGCACCAAATCTGATGGGGAATAGTGGTCTCTAGGATATTAAAACCTATAAATATTGTGGAAAAAGGTGGTAGGGGAATAATGAAATGAGTGTCCAACTGAAGGAACCCAGCCGCTCAGTAATATCAATTGTAATATTAGACACCTGAGAATCCATATCAGATCCACCCTCAAACCCACTTGCTCTTTGACATCTCCAAGGACAATCCTTTCACCTTATTATTTCCCTCCTCCAGATCTGTCCTGTCCAAAGCCAGGAAGGAGGCACTTCCCTAGCTTTTGCTACACCTCTGTACGTGGTCTTGTGCCAGGCACGTCATACCCATCTCCCCACATCTTGTCTTCCATCTCTCCTGTCCCTTGTTTCTCTCTGTGCTCCACATGGAAGCTGGGGCATGGCTGCAAAGATCTGAAAAGCCTAGTGTGGGGGACAGCAGAGTTGCTAACATGTCTCTGTTTCATCTCGTCCCTCCAGCTGTTTGTGGGGGAAGGAGAAGCAGCAGAGGTTTCGTAATGAGCACATTGTTCCCTGCCATGGAAAGCGCCAGCCCTGCTTGCTGGAGCCAGCCCGGTGGGACAGCATATAACAGGAGTTGGCACCACAGGCTGCTGAGGCATGAGGACAATCACTACAACTGGACCGACTGTGAAGCCGGTCACTTGAGCAAAGTCCCTGTCACACTGCTCATCTGCCTCTGCGGGCTGGTGGGGAATGGGGCCATCCTCCAGTTCCTCGGCTCCCACGTCCGCAGGAATCCCATCACCGTCTATGTCCTCAACTTGGCCGTCGCCGACTTCACCTTCCTCCTCTCCATCGCCATTGCCCTTGTGATATTTTACGGCCCAGAGAGCCTTTGTCACAGGCTGAGCTCACGGGACATGACAACCGTGTTGAACATCACCATCCTCTTCGCTTTCACCACCAGCACCTACCTCCTGACAGCCTTCAGTGCCATGACGTCTCTGTCTGTCCTCCCCCTGGCCCGCTGCCCCTGCCACCGCTCCTGGCACTTGCCAGTGCTCGTGTGTGCCCTGCTCTGGGCCCTCTCCTTCCTGCTCACCGTGATCCTCTACTTCTGCCCTGCGGCGCTCATTGTCTTCATCTTGAGCTACCTCTTATCGGTGCTTATCCTGATTTTTTCTGGTCTAACCCTGCTTGCCAGGGTCTTGTGCTGTTCATGGCAATATCCCCCAAGGAAGCTCTGTGTTGTGGTCCTGCTAGCTGCCTTCTTCTTCCCCTTCTTCACTGCTGACTTTGGTTACTGGCTCTTGCTAAGACTGTTTGATTTTTCCGTTTTTGTCTTTGACGCCTCTCTCCCCTTCGCCTGTGTGAACAGCAGTATCAACCCTGTTATTTACTTCTTGGCTGGGAGCTGTGCAAAGAAGTTCACGCTCTCTGTTAGGGTTGCTTTCCAGAGGGCTTTTGAAGACGTAACAGAGCCCCAAAATAGAGGCGAAACTCCCAGAGAAAACACAGTGGAAACAGCTGTTTAAACCTCTGCAGCCCCTCCCTGAGAGAAGATGCTCTAGGGACGGAGGCGTTCCGTGAGCCAGGGCGAGACAAGGAAGATGGCTTCGGTGTGGGTCCGGCTGCAGCTGAACGGAATTAGCTGCAGCACAACAAAACGTGCTGGGTGGCACGGGAACCCCTGCCTGGGGCGGACACTGGACAGCGTGATGAAATACCCATCGAAACCTTTTGCTTTGAAACCTTTGCTTTGAATCTGTCCTATTCAACAGGTCTGAGCTTTCCCTGTCTCAAAAGTGAGCTTGCTCTACCCTGCGCACTATTAAAAGAGCCGTGGAGGCTCTTAGCTCCTGCCAGTGGGTTTTTTTTGGTGTGTCTGCTTAAGAGCAGAGCGTGGGTGGATAAGAAAGCTTGGCACAGCAGGGCAGAACAATTCCTGGGCAGTTCCTTGTGTGTGCATCTCCAGCGGGTGCTGACACGTGTAAGAATACGCAGAGACTTCACATTCAGCTTTGTTACCAGGCAAGCAGGCATGCGTTTGGGATCGCCCCTGGAAGGCTTTCCCTGAAATGCATTGCTTCTGCTGCAAACTGAGTTTTGTCTGCACATCATGTGGGTCGTCTGCACGCAAAGGTTTGTGACTGGAACTGCCTCTTGTGGTTCCTCCCATTTTTCTCTGGGCTGTCTAGAGCAAATGCCATTTCGCAACCATGACCTGAGGTCTGTATCTATTTCTGGTGTGTCTGTTCCTCATCTAGAAAAACAAGGGGAGTAGGGTTAAAGTGAAAAAACCCAAAAAGCACAGCCCTGCCTGAAGACTCTCTAAAGACTGGATTTTCCATGTGAAGGAGGATACAGGGAGAGGGAAGGAAAACAGTGGACTTTTTATGGAAAAGACCCTGTTGAGGCCATGAGGACTGACTCCCTGTAGCCTGGCTCAGGCACCTGCTGGGTAAAAGTGGTAGTGGCAGCGTTTTCTCTGCTCCTCTCTCCCCTCCGTGTCTGTCAGCCCTTGCTGTCAAGGAGTTGGGGGATACACCAGCTCTTGTTTGCCTGTGAACTAAGCCACCAACAAACCATTGCTTTCGAGCTGGTTTTGCTTCCTGGTGTGACTCCCCACCAGGCTGCACTAACTTTAGTATGAGCACAAGGGAAATGTTGGGAAGATGCAGCTGGCAGGGAGGAGTGGATGGAGAAAAGGCATCAGCAGGGCAGACTGAAATAGCAACCCCAGGAACTACTGACGCCGTGGCCTCTGGGACCTGGGATGGTGACAGAAGTTTCTCTGCCCTTTGGCTTGTCCCTCAGCCCACAGCTATGTGTCACCGGACAGGCTGGAATGAAAATCGATCACTTGGGGCGGTACAGGTACAGAGCCATGATAACTAAACCCATAAAACTCCCTGGTAAAAACAAGAAGCTCGGATAGTTGGTGGCCTGGGTGACTCAGTGGCAAAGGAGATCCCGGGAAGCAGGAAAAGCACACGGGAGGATCGTGGCCCTTCTGCACCTGCCTTGGGAGACACTCCCTGGATGATGGGAGCCCTTTCCTGGACAACAGGTTGTAACTCGGAAAGTTTTTACTTTCCAAAGGGCAGGAAAGTGGGAGAGAGGGAGAAAAAAACCTCTCTGAAGTATGGAAGACTCCTGCCCTGTTCTGTAAAACAACTCTGTTAATAAATGCTTCTTAGATGTTTAATCTCATCATGTGTCTTCAAAGCATGACTCACCACCCATGAGTTATACTCTCGCTTCTCTTTCTAAAAGCAGTGGCACGTTAGTTACCCTTGGATTTAAGGCAGTGGGAAGAGGATGGACAACTTCCCACTGTGTAAGAGGCAGGTAAATGGGTGGGTGAAGACAGGCATCCCTGTCACCTGCAAATGGGATGATCTCCCCTGTCAGGCAGCGTGCCTCCTCCCCGCTTTTCCCAGCAGTCTCCCAGTTGCTGGGATGCTGCGACGTCCTTTCCTTCTGCTCTTTCCTCTGCCCTTCCACCTCTGCCTGCCTCAGCCGGCCTCAGCACCTACAAGGAGGTGCTCTCCTGGTGTGCTCAGCTGTTCCCGAAGAAAGCTTTCAGCACGTGTGGGCAGCTCCACTGCCGTGGTTTGGCCCAACTGGAGGCTTCTTACAGTGAGATACATCTCTGCTAACTGCAAACATCCCAGACAGATGTCATCTGCTGCCCAGGTCCCTCCCAGAATGAACGAGGAGGTCTTGGCACTGTTACAGATGGCTCATCCCAATTATTGCAGGCACCTACCTTAGGATGAGGTGCATCATGCTCTGGAGGTACCTGTCCTCCTCATAGACAAGACAGAGGCTTTAGAATGAGAGGAAATGAGCCATTTTCTGACAGAGTTGAGTCAGCCTTGCTCTGTTCACCAGCGGCAAGCTGTGCAGTGAAGCCCAGTTGCTGTGTATTCAACAGACTTTGGGGTCAGAGTTACCATGTCGGAAACAAAAAAAGAAATCCAAATTTAATTTAGGAGTAGTAACAAAATGATGCCTTAGGTAAGTAACTAGAAAAAGATCAGTACAACTAGGACTTTGGAGTGTATGGTTAGTCATTGGAACAGCTGTGCAGAGGAGCTGCTCACCTCCTCCTGAGGATGGCCAGGTTCAGGATGGAGGCAGTGAAGGGCTTCCTCTTGATGCTGAAGCTGGGGAACCAAAGGATGGCCCCACTCCCCGCCGGCCCGCACAGGCAGATGAGCAGTGTGATGCTCCTAATTTCTATAAAATTAAGTGGCCCGTACATCTGGTTATGTTAATTTCCATATTTCAGGCTCTTTTTGGTCATGGACACAGAGGTGTGTTCAGTGGAGTTGCTATGAAATCTTTGCTGCGAGCAAAGAGAATACAGCAATTAGTGTCTCTGACTTGCCAAGACCATCTGATCTGGTAATCCCCTGCCTTGCTTCATGGCATGGCTTGGAGCCACGTTTGGGGAGTGCTTGGTGAGCTGTGCCAGAGCAGGTTCCCGTCTCAGCCTCTGTAGCTGACATTCGCCCGCTGTGCTTCTCTCTGGCATCAGAGAGCTGATCTTTGGCATCAGACATCCTGAGTTGCGCTGTGTTATCTCACCCTTCACCTTGAAATATTTCCTTTCCAAAATTGGTGCCTTTTCTGGAGACATAGCTCCCCCCATCTCCCCTTCCAAGTTTGGAGGACAGGGTATCATAGCCTTGGCTGAAGTAAGACAAAAGAATCTGAAGCCTCCTTTGGAATGCTTTTGTCCCTGTGGACAAAACTTTTGTGGAGATATTAAAAAAAGTGAAACATGTCTTAAAATCCTCTCTTGGTTTTCCTGTAGGGCCTGATAGGAGCAGGGCTGGAGCAGATTCCCTGCCCCCTTGCGGGGATGCATACTGTGCTGTCCGGTCCCTGAGAGACCCCAGCAGGGATGTGACAACCTCCAGGATACGATGTCTCCTCAGCCAGCCGTAGTCTGTTGCAAAAAGCCATGTTCCCCTGGAGCACAGCTGGAAAGCAGCACCTTGCGTGAACTTCTTGGCAAGAACATGAGTGCCGGGAACACGCCACTCATAATGCCCCGGCACTATCGAAACTACACTTTTCTCAGAACGATTTAACCCTGGAACTAAAGAGTGTGACAAATTCCCACTTAAAGTATAAGAGATTCTTCCCCAGCTCTGCAGCCCTACTTGAAGTTGGTTTGTTTTTCCATCAGCTGGGAGTGCAGGGCTGACTTTGCTGACCGGCTCTTTAAACAGAAGAGCAAGGATGCTCCGTGCGATCCATACCCCTCTCCTGCCATCTAGAGGCATCAACCCCGCAGATATTTGTGAAATCACCGCCGGCCCTGTGCTGGATGTGTCCCCGCAGCCCTCCGAGGCTGGGGTGTGGGTGAGCAGCGGGGCCTGAGGCTCCCGCTCCTGCACAGGGGGGTCCGCGCCCGCCCAGAGGAGGCAGAGGGGATCAGCTGGGCCGGGAGGGGGATTTTGGTGGGGGTGAGTTGCCAGTTAGCCTCTCTTCACGAGGGTATCCTGCTTGGCTTCCAGGAGCAAGTGGCTCTGCCGGGAGTCCTCGCCCTCCACCTCCCCTCGGGGCAGCAGCAAACGTAGAGGTACGGCCAGCTCTGCCATCGCAATGTCTCCATGCCAAGGGAACCAGGGTCAGGAGGGGGCTGCACTACCCCACGGACAAGCCACACGGCTGCTTCCCACGACAGCAATTGCATCTACTCCTTGCTCAGCATTTCACTTCAGCATGGGTGCAGCGGTGCCGGCGAGGTGCCCGCATGACCCCCTTGGCTTGCCCATTTTTGCTATCGTTTTTGAAGAGCCCTGCCTTGCTTGGACAACAGAGATGCCCAGAGCTCTCCCAGGGCCTAGCGTGTCAGACTTTCCCCAGGCAAGAGGTCCCCCAAAACACCGCAAAACTCATCTGCTGAGCAAAAGGAGCCAGAGTTTATCAGAGGCAGTGGGTGTAGCCCTTATGCTGTTGCATGTCCACACACTGGTGAGTCTGAGCGGCCGCAGGGCTTGTCACTGGGGTCAGAGTGGCCGCACAGCATGTCGCTGGGGTCGGAGTGGCCACAGGGCGTGTTGCCCAGGTCTGAGTGGCTGCAGTGCGTGTCGTTTTACCGTCAGATCCAGAGACCTTCTCTTCCCTTTGAGGATACTGAATGGTGTTGAACAGGGCTCGGTAGGCATGGGCCAGGCCCCAGCACGTTGCAATGAGCTGCATCTCTCTGGAGTTGCCAGGGTGACAGCATACTTCTTCCAAATGTTCTACTAACTTTTCAGGATTCTGCACTTTCTCAGGGGTGAAGTTCCAAAACACTGGGGGTGCCCATTGGCCTAGGTACTTGCCCATCTTGTCCCACACCCCCTGCCACTCA